GGGTGGGTGGGGGAGATCCCGGGTGGGGAGGGCCGGGGTGCGGAGGGCCCGGGTGACCCTCGGACTCACCCGCTGCTGAGGCAGGGGCCGTTCTCCGCTCACCTGCGGGCGTCTGTCTCACAGGGGAGTTGGCGTCAGATCTGCAGGGGAAAAGGACAGGACCCAGCTAAGCCGGAGGCAGCTGCCAGAAGCCCCCCTGGGATCAACCTCCCTCTGCTTGGGACCCCAGGCCAGGAGTCTCACCGGGGGGCCGGAACAGCAGGGAGCCTCCTGCACAGAGGCTGTTCTCAGCATGGAAGCAGCACGGCCTAGTGGTCGGGGCCTGGCCCGTCTGTCTCTGGGCTCCCCTGGCCAATCCCCACCCTTCATGGGTTCTTCAGTTTCTGCCTGAAGTTCCAAGCTGCTGTTGTGTCCACCCGTGGCCACTAGGGGGTGCTCTACATGACAGGTCACCATGCTCTCTCTCACCTGGGAAGAGCAGTTGCAATAGCCCCATTTCAAAGCTAGGGAGACTGAGGCAGAGAGCGAGCGTGAGGGATTTGCCTAAAGTCACACACTGAGGCAGTGCCGGTGGTGGAACTCAGGCGTCCCGGCTCCCAGCTCCCTGGCTCCTGACCCAGGCCACGCTGGCAGGGTCCCACCTGACCAGGCCTGAGGCCCCGGCACTAAGACCTGACCTGACGTCACCATCCTCCAGGAGGCGCTGGTAGGTCGCAATTTCCATCTCCAGCCTGGTCTTCACATCCAGGAGCTGCTGGTGCTCCTCCGCCTGGTGCTGGGCCTCAGTTCTCAGCTGCATCAGCTCGGCCTCTGTCCCGGCGACGTGCCCCCGCAGCTGCGCCAGCTTGGCCCCATAGCCAGCCTCCACTTCAGCCAGTGTGCCCTGCAGAGCCGCTTTCTGAAAGCAAGGGCGGGATGTGCCCAGCTGCAGATCTGCGTGCGGGGGAGCAACACCCCGGTGTGCTCCTTAGAGCAAGGCCAATAGCTGACATCTCGGTTCGGCCAAACAACACTGTCTCAGGCTGGCCCAAAGCAAACAGCTGTAGCCGCTTTGGGCCAGGTCTACAGCCATTGGGAGTCCCGCCTCCCGGCCCCGAATGGCTGATGGCCCGAGGGCATGGGCAGCGGGTGAAGGCCCAGCTGGGGAAGGCAAGCCCTAGCCCCGCCCCTTCTGTTTGAGGCCACGCCCCTTCTGCCTGAGGCCCCACCCCTTCAGCAACTTTTCCCTCTAGAGCCATACTTTGCCGGTTCCCAGCCTGATCCTTCCTGGCCACCTGGAGGGCCAGGGCTGTCATGTGGCAGCCCCAGTCCTAGTCTTCCCCAGTGGCCAGGGCACATAGGGCGAGGGCAGTACCCACCGTGCTGTGCAGGGTCTGCAGTTCAATCTCCATGCCCTGCACCACCCGCCGGAGCTCCGTGATCTTCGTCCTGGCCGCCTGGACGGCTTCCGCGCTGGTGGCCACCTCCTGGGCCACTGACTCGCACTGCACCAAAGGGAGGAGGCTCAGGGGTCTGGGTGCAGCCAGCTCGTGGCTCAGGGCACATTTTGCCTCCTCTCTCGTATGGGAGGGGGATAGGTAGAGCAGGGAGGGGTGAGACACTGGGGTCAATGCAGCCCCGCCCCCGCCCCCCCGCCATGCACTGGGATGCGACCCCAACGCCAACGCACGGGAGCCAGCAAACCGCCCGCCACGCG